AAGAATATGAAGATTAGATGGCATTCTGCAATAATTAATATTGAAAGGATTTCACGGTTTCCCGCATCCTTGAATCCTAGCTTAACCACCACCGCGGGACCGCGGCCGGACGTCAAATTTGCTGCCAGGCGCTGCGTAAGCTGTTGTAGTTTCACGCAGTGCCGCACCGCGATGTCGCGGAAGTTTTCGTGAAAATTCACCACAGAGTCCGTATTCATATGCTCGCTCAGTGGGAGCTCGTTGGACAAAATGTCCAAACTCATGGCTGCTTGCTGGCAGGGTGCCCGTGGCAGCAACCTGGCCGGCCGTGCTTTCACGACTATTTCGCCAGGCTCACCGGGACCTTGGCCCAGCGCCAAAGTGAGCGGCCCTTCATCACCTGACCCGGGCCTCGGCCGTATCGATGTCGGCTTCCCTAAGCTGCTTGAGCTCATCCTACGAAGAACTGTGACATCGGTTGCCACGTCCACATGTGACGCCAAAAGCTGCGCTGCCTGCAAAAGCCCAGCGGCCATCATAGGCTCCGTCGTAGTTGCCTCGACGGTGGGTGCTGCTGAAGGCCCCGTCGTAGTCGCCTCGATGCTGGGTACTGCTGAAGTTGCCGCGCACCTGGCTGCACAAAACCCTGCAGGCACCTACTTTACCCTAAAAGTTTGATACCGCTGTTTCTTGGTCTGATCACCTGAATGCCAAGTCGAGCAGAGGAAACTGACGGTAGGCCCAGTAGGCTCTATGAGCGTTTATCGGCCACTATTGTCTTCTGGTATTATTAGCTCAACTTCAGGAAGCCGGGCTTTCAGTGAACTCTACACTGGACATCATTGACAGAAGCCCTGTTGCTTTAAGCAAACCCAATCTCAAGCCCCAAGCTCAAGCTACTGGTCATCGTTTGCTGCAGTCGTTGTTGTCTTTCATTCTTGCCAACAAAGACCTACGCTTGACACATTTGGGGCACGCCAATTCCTGATTCTCTGATGCCGGGTTTGGTTCATCCCGCCTGGTTTCGTGTAGGCGGAGGCTCCAGCCGAAGCCCTTCACGCCAAGCGCTCCCACGTTCATGCCACAATGGCGACAGCGAGCTCGGGAGCACGGGCGAAACGCGGGGGCCATGGCTCGCCTAGCTGAAAATGGAAGCCTCCACAGTGGAGCCGAGTAAGGCTGCAGCAACTGACTCAACTGATCCACGTTTGACATGGACAACCTGTTCAATGCTTGACAATCCGACTATGCTGCTGGAAGCCACGTGGAGGAAGATGGTGGGTTTCTACCGGAGCTACCCTCTAAAGGACGCTTCAACAAGCCAGCAGAAAGATTGCTGGTCTTGTGCCGAAGACGACGACGGCATCGTTGACGCCAACGAGTACTAATTAACGACTATCTGCATTGTCTTCTCTTTTTGTTGATACCGTAACATGCTTGGCTCTGAACAGACCAATACCATATAACCCTAAACCCCTGAACCCTAAACCCCAAAACCCTACACCCTAAACCCTGCGTACCTCGGCCGGCTTGACAGCGGTCTTCGGCGCATGCTCGCCTTCGTCTTTGTTGCGCTTCCGGCTGGAGGTCTGCCAGTCTAAATTTAAGGTTTAGAATGAAGGGTTGAGACGAGTTCTCAGCACCACGATGGACAACTCTATCCTGGTGGCTTATCTGTCGTTGTAGACTGTAGAGATCGTTCTGAAAAGCCTGTGGACCAACACAGTGAGGCCCCACAAAGAAAACACTTCTTATGACAGCGACTGCTGCCGTGAACCCGAACCAACTCCGCTGAGACTGCCCCATGCCGCAGACAAGCCACCAAACCTGAGACTCCGAAGACTTAATGCTCAACCCCTGAACCCACTCCCAAACCAAGACCCATCCAGTCGGCCTTCGCGAGTCTTTGGTGCCGGGGAGCTGGCGCGGCTGCGGCGAGAAGGGGCAGCCTTCGGCCGAAGGCTGCGCTCCGAAGTTACCAAGAGGCCACAAGGTCATAGGGTTTAGGGTTTAGGGTTTAGGGTTTAGGGATGAAGCCCGTGCACAAACTACCCCCGAGCCACCCTAAGAACGATGCGAAACCTCGCCGCCGCTGTTGCCCTTGGTGCGCTGCTCGCTCGACATTGCGGCGCCAGAAGGCCGAAGGAAAGCCGAAGCTTCCAATTGCTGGGTTCTTGTTAAGGGATTTAATTTAAGTTACCATAATAAGGAAGCCATATTATTTACTATAGATCCCTATTATGGTAACTTAAATTAAATCCTTTAACAAGAGCCCAGATTCTGGTATGTCTTTGCGAAAAGGCTACAGTAAACTGGAGCTGACGCAATTCAACGGACTTGGATTGGATTATTGGATAGTGTGACATGTGCGGAGTTGCGCCTGCGAAACAATGTTCTGGAAGGGTGCTCATGAGATCCGGAATGGTAGCAGTGGTGCTGTACATAGCTTTTAAAGCTGACAACACACCATGTTCATCCAATGAGAACGGCTGCGGCGATGATGATGATCTTAGAGGAACTGGCAACTTTCACCTCATCTTCAGAGCCACTTACAGTACAGGCATGCAAAACTGGGATCGTGTCTTTGCCACTAGTAGCACCAGCATCCCACCACCACTAGCGCCACCCGCTGCTGGCCCGGAAGACCCGACAAGCCATACAAAACACCTAAACCCTAAACCCTAAACCCTAAACCCTAAACCCTAAACCTATTCGCAGACTACTCGAACAAGTCACGAAGGTTGATGGCTGCATTCAGTCCGGCTGACAAGCAGGATAACTCGCAGTTACGCCCATTTGGGACACGAAAGGTTCCGAAAGGCCTCCACATAACCCCGAACTCCAAATCCTGCAGCTGTTGCCTAATGCTGGGGCCTTTATAATCAGGATAGGGTTCTGGGGTATATATGGTATCTTATACTACAGTTATAATAAGGAATATATATGGTATCTTATACTACAGTTATAATAAGGAACTCCCAAAATAGTATAGGTAACTATGTAGGGCCCCTATATTTCATTGTTACACCGAACAGCCCCCAGGGCGCGCGCCTGCTTTTGCTCGGGCCCCGGGGCGTCCAGCGCCGCACGGGCCGAAATTAACGCAGCCGCAACCTCGGCCTGAGACAGGCCATGGCCACATCATGTAGGCGCCTTAAACAAAAGGCCCCTATCCGAGTTTGGCCCCCCCCCCCCCCCCCCCCCCCC